GGAGGCCGAGGCGGGCAGATCACCTGAGGTCAGGAGTTCGAGACCAGCCTGACCAACATGGTGAAATCCCGTCTCTACTAAAAATACTAAATTAGCCGGGCATGGTGGCGCATGCCTGTAATCCCAGCTACTTGGGAGGCTGAGGCAGGAGAATTGCTTGAACCCAGGAGGCGGAGGTTGTGGTGAGCCAAGATCATGCCACTGCACTCCAGCCTGAGCAACAAAAACGAGACTGTGTCTCAGAAAAAAAAAAAAAAAAAAAAAAAAAAAAATTGAGAGTAGAGCAAGGGTAGTGAGGTAAAAAAAAAAAAAAAAAAAAAAATTGACGGTAGTGAATACAGATGCCTTTTTTTCTTTTTCTGAGGTAGAATCTCACTCTGTCATTCAGGTTGGAGTGCAGTGGTGTGATCTCGGCTTACTGCAGCCTCGACCTCCTGGGCTCAAGTGATCTTCCCACCTCAACCTCCTGAGTAGCTGGGACCACAGGCACATGCCACCACACCTGGCTTCTTTTTTATTTTTTGTAGAGATGGGGTTTTGCTGTGTTGTCAAGCTGGTCTCGAACTCCTGGGCTTAGATGATCCTCCCACCTTGGTTCCCAAAGTGCTGGGAGATTACAGGCCACTGTGCCAGGCCAATACATGTGTCTTGACACAGCAAAATAGAGAGTTTTGATGAGGGCTTTGTGAGGACGTAGGTGACCTGAAGGAGTTTGTGACCAGAGGAGAAGGCGCTATGGGGACTGAAGGGCAATCCTGAAAAGTGAGGGGCGTGTCACGGCGAGGCAGGAGGTTCCCCAGCAAGCTAGAGAAGCCCCAGGCCTCTCAATGATAGGGAGGGCAGGAAAGGAAGGGGTGAAGACTCAGGCGTGGGCCTGCACAGTCGAGAGCAAGGTCGCAAGGTCGAGAGTTTCCCTTGGTGTTGACCCTAGGGCAGAGGAAGGGGGTTTTCTCTAGGAGGGAGAGGGCTGGGGCTTGGGGAGAGGATGAGGCAAGGAGAGTCGCTGCTGGGGGAAATTCCTTCTAGAGTCACTGCTTACCTTCCTGTCTGGAGCCTCAGCTGAGCCCCCCAGATGCTTTTGGATTAGAAAGGAACAGTCCGGGCCGGGCGCGGTGGCTCACGCCTGTAATCCCAGCACTTTGGGAGGCCGAGGTGGGCAGATCACAAGGTCAGGAGATCGAGATCATCCTGGCTAACACGGTGAAACCCTGACTCTACTAAAAATAGAAAAATTAGCCAGGCAAGGTGGCGGGCGCCTGTAGTCCCAGCTACTCGGGAGGCTGAGTCAGGAGAATGGCGTGAACCTGGGAGGCGGAGCTTGCAGTGAGCTCATGCCACTGTACTCCAGCCTGGGCCACAGAACCAGACTGCATCTCAAAAAAAAAAAAAGAAAGAAAGGAGCAGTCCCATGAGCCTCATGGGGACCCCAGAGCACTCAGAGTGAGGGGCTATCACACACGGGACCGGTGCTGCTAGACACAGGGCACCTCCCGACTCCCTGCCCTGTACTCCGCGCTTGCCCCTGTCCCAACAGGTTCCCCTTCTACTTTGAACTGAAGATCGCCTTCGTGATATGGCTGCTGTCCCCATACACCAAGGGCTCCAGTGTGCTCTACCGCAAGTTCGTGCACCCAACACTGTCCAACAAGGAGAAGGTTTGCCCCCACTCTCAGCTTACCTCCCAGCCTGCCCCAAGCCAAGGCAGCCCAGAGCCTGTAGCCTCATACAGACTGGCCCTCCCTGTGGGGCCCAGAGCCCGAAGTGACCTGACAGGGCTGCCGTGGCCTCCTGGAGCAGGCAGGGGCCTCTGTCCAGGGGTGAACAAGGGTAGGGCAGGGCCTCGACAGCAGCGCCCAGCTCTCCTCTTCTCCCTTCCCCTCCAATGCCATAGGAGATCGACGAGTACATCACGCAGGCCCGAGACAAGAGCTATGAGACCATGATGAGGGTGGGCAAGAGGGGCCTGAACCTGGCCGCTAATGCCGCAGTCACAGCTGCTGCCAAGGTGAGATGGGGGCAGGCTCGGATTCCCAGGGCCCCGCCTTGTACAAAGGGCCCTGGCCAGGCCCCTTGCGTCCACCCTGTGCTCAGGGCTGTAGAGACTCTGGGCTCGTGCAGCTGGAGGTTCCAGTCCAGGCTCTACCCCTATCTGGCCAAGTCACTTTCATCGTCCAGCCATTTCCGCATCTGTCCGGAGGCGAAGTGTGGTCCTGCCCCAGCCCTCAGCTCTGTCTGTGTGGGACTGGGTGAAGACGGTGTGGGGAGGGCACCGAGCCTGGGCTGCTGCCAGCACCATGGTGACCGCTATCTCCACCCCGCCCCTTTCCCCGGCTCTCCCGGTGCGTGGTGGTGACCCTAGGGCCAGGGGGTGCTGTCAGAGAAGCTCCGCAGCTTCAGCATGCAGGACCTGACCCTGATTCGGGACGAGGATGCACTGCCCCTGCAGGGGCCCGACGGCCGCCTCCGACCCGGCCCTGGCAGCCTCCTGGACACCATTGAGGACTTAGGTACAGGCAGGGCCTGAGGTTGGGGAGGGGCCCCAAGGGCAAGGCCAAGGAGCCCAGATGGGAAAGATTCCCCCATCTCCTTTTCTCCCTGCACCCAGGAGATGACCCTGCCCTGGGTCTAAGGTCCAGCACAAACGTGGCAGATTCCCGGACAGAGGCCTCTGAGGATGACATGGGAGACAAAGCTCCCAAGAGGGCCAAACCCATCAAAAAGGCCCCCAAAGCTGAGGTGAGGGCACTGGCCAGAGCTCGGGGAAACAGGCAGGGGGTGGTGGCTCCAAGCTGAGCCCCATCTTCCTCCGTCTTTCCACAGCCACTGGCTTCCAAGACACTGAAGACCCGGCCCAAGAAGAAGGCTTCTGGCGGGGGCGACTCAGCTTGAGACCCTCCACCCCCGCAGGCTGCAGAGCAAGGATGAAGCCTCAGGAAGGGCCTCGGACCCAGCCCCTGCTCCACACTGTGCCAGTAGCCTAGGTGTCTCAGGCCCCTGGGCCCCTCAGATGGCCATTTCCGTGCCTGCCCAGTGGCCACTCTACTGGAAGGGGCTTGGAAAAGAGGAGGGAGGCCCAGCTGTGGGGGTTGAGGGTAAAGGGTGGACCAGAGGCTGAGGACTGAGCCACCTAAGGAGGTGGGGACCCCTCAGCCTCCACTGCTGTTCCGCTGCAGCCCCGCCCTGCCCCGCCCCGCCCACCCAGTGCCTTGCTGAAGCCCATAGCCATCCGCTTCTCAGAGGTCCTATCATGTCTCCACTGCTCGCCTTGGTTTGGGAGCAGGGAGGGGGCAGTCCTAGCCCAGATGGACCAAGGACGGGCCTGAAAACACGTGGGGGAAAGGGAGCACATGGGGAGGATGTCAGGGACTCTGGGTGGGGCCTCCAGGTGCAGCTGTGGGTGGAAGACCGGGGTTGGCGTGTGCTTCAGCAACCAGGATGGCCAGGCCAGAGCTGCAGCTGGGGGCTCTTTTCCTGGTCATTGGGTGGGGCTGAGTGCCACATGTTCCCACATTAAAAAGGGGGGTCCAGGGCTGTGTGTTTGCGTGTGTCTTTCTGGGTCTAGGGCTGGGGGGAGTTTGGGTCAAGGACTGTCCCTCCAGCAGTCACCTCCTCCCACCCTCAGCCCCACCCTCAGCCCCACAGTCAACTGGCCATTTCCCTGCTCAACCCTCCCTCCTAGACCCTGAGCCTCAGAGGATCCAGCCCATGAGAGAACGGGCATCTGGGAGGCCCCTCACCTGCTCCTTTGACCTTGCTCCCTTTCAGGTCACCCATTTCCACCATGCCCTGGGCTGGACTCCCGTGCTCCTCAGGGCCCACCCCTGCTCTGGTACAGGCCCCTGCTGAGTGGGTCCCTCTCCTCTGCCCCTGGGGCCCATCCCCTATTGTCCAGGGTCCCCATCCTATACCAAGCAGACTGGGCGCTAAGACCCCTGGCAGAACCCAGACTCTGCTCGCACCTGCCCCAGCTTCTGCCACAGCTTCAGTCAGGGCCAGGAGGAACACATGAAGAAGAAAGAGAAATGCAGGAGCCGTGGGGCTCCCGGTTCCTTGGGAAGAGGGTGCCCAGTGGACCTTTGGCACTGGATGAGCCAATAAACCAAACTCTGGCACCTCATTTATTTTGGCATCTGTGCTTTGTTCTTGCCACACCAGCTGACAGGTGGGAAGGACCTCAAGTGAAGCAGGACCCAGCTGGGGGAGTCGGGAGGCCAGCCTGTGATCCACAGGAGCTCTGGTCCCCAGCTAAGAGATGGGCTTGAGGTGGCTCAGTCTAGGAAAATGGTTTTGGGACTCAAAACCAGAGGCCTGGGCCGGGCGCGGTGGCTCACGCCTGTAATCCCAGCACTTTGGGAGGCTGAGGCGGGCAGATCACGAGGTCAGGAGATCAAGACCATCCTGGCCAAGATGGTGAAACCCCGTCTGTACTAAAAAAAATTAGCCAGGCGTTGTGGTGTGCACCTGTAGTCCCAGCTACTTGGGAGGCTGAGGTAGGGGAATCGCTTGAATGTGGGAGGCGGAGATTGCAGTGAGCCAAGATTACACCACTGCACTCCAGCCTGGTGAAAGAGCAAGACTGTCTCAAACAAAACAAAAAACAGAGGTTTAGCTGGGTGTGGTGGCTCACACCTATAATCTCAGCACTTTGGGAGGCCGAGGTAGGAGGATCCTTGAACCCAGGATTTTGAGACCAGCCTGGGCAACATGGGAAAATCACATCTGTATTTATTTTTATTTTTATTTTTATTTTTATTTTTTTTTTTGGAAACTGAGTCTCTATTGCCAAGGCTAGAGTGCGGTGGTGTGATCTTGACTCGCTGCAACCTCCGCCTCCTGGGTTCAAGTGATTCTCATGCCTCAGCCTCCCGAGTAGCTGGGATTACAGGCATGCGCCACCATGCCCAGCTAATTTTTGTATTTTTAGTAGAGACTGGGTTTCACCATGTTGGCTAGGCTGGTCTCGAACTCCTGACCTCAAATGATCGGCCTCCCAAAGTGCTGGGATTACAGGCGTGAGACATCGTGCCAGACCACATCTCTATTTTTAAAAATAATAATAATTAATAAATAAAAACCAGAGGCCTAAGAAGGGTCAGGGGCCCCAACCCCAAGGACGGTCTTATCCCTCAGAATCTTACCCCAAGTGTTCAGTGGACCTTCTGGTATCCAACAAAAAGTGCTAGGTGTAGGCTCTGGGGGACAAAGATCCCAGTGAGGCCCCCAGTGGGGACAGGATAAGATATGGAGCTGTGGGGCAGGCCTCAGGGACTGTGCCTAGAAAGGCCAAAAATGCCAAAGGGGGTTGAGCCAGACACATTGAGCGAATAAGCAGAGATGGGGAAGCCAAGACAAGGGCTTGTGGAGAAACCAGCCCTGGGGACAGAGAGGGAACCAAGGGCTGAGACAAAGAGGCACAACCTTTGTGACACCAGGAAAGGCAGGGGTCCAGCCCTAACTGCTGGGCTAGGTTAGAGGAAAGGAGGAGGAGGGAGCTGCAGGGCATGGGGTCGGAGCCCTGGGAAGCAGAGCCAGAGCTCCAGGGGCCAAGAAGCACAACTGACTGGGGATGAGCCCCCGGGAAGCTGGAACCAAGGGGGAGGGAAAGGCTGGCAGAGGAGCAGAGGCAGGTATGGAGGAGAGATTGACAAAGGAAAAGAGCCGTAAGGGAGGAAAAAGGGATCAGAGAAATAGCTCAACCTGTGGAAGGAAAATTGAGGAAGCAGGCCATGGGGTGGGTAGGGGGTGTGAATAGGACCTAGACCCAGGCTCTGGACCCCAAGTTTGGCAAAGTGCCCCTACACTAGGCTTCCCTCCTCCTTCCCTGGCATCACAGGGTATGTGCATAGGGCATGTGCCAAGCTAGCCAAGAGCCCCCTGAAGTGAGGTCACAGTGGGGGATGTGAGATGTCCCTTTTGTCTTTCCTTGGAGTCCTCCAGTCAACTAGCCCTCTGAGGGGCATCGCCTTCACCATCAGCCTCTGAGCAATTTTGGCCCATTTTTCCATCGGAAAGGAGAGGAAGCTACCATGGTAAAATATAGGGGAGGCATTCATTCTAGAAAGATCCCCAGAGGGTAAGATGCTGCAGAACCACGCTAACAGCTACCATATGCCCAGGAAACCAGGTTAGGCGCTCTTTAACCTAAATCTCATTTGCTGCATATCACACACACACACACACACACACACACACACAGCCTCACACTCAGGAGCATGCTCGCATCCACAGTGACTGGTGGCTAGACAGGTGACGTCCAGATTCCGCATTGTCAAGCTCTCCATGCGCATCAGGGGTTCCCCTGTGTCCACAGGAACATGCTCAGATTTCCAAGCGCATTGGTTTGTTGCTATGGAAACATTCAGGCTTCTAGAATTCTGGGCACAGGGCCCGCCCCCTGTGGTGCAGAGAAGAGGAGAGCTAGAGGGTGACAAGAAGAATGGGTGGAAAGGCTCCTGGGAAAGAGGCTGGCTGGTGGCACACATCTGGGCCTAGGTGACCCCTTGCTGTCCCCTCATTCCCTGGGAAAATCTCCCCTTCCCCCTCTCCCCTCTGCCTCCGTAGATCTCTCCAAGCCAGGGTAGTGGGAAAGAGATGTCAGAAATAGGTGTATGGCCAGCGCTCTGTGGAGGGTGCTTGATCACTGCCTGGGTCTCCAGGGGCCTTTGAGAGGTATTAGCTTTGGGTAGGGACTGGGGCAGGCGAGCGCTGGGTCCCATGCCCAGGCCTCCTTGGGATCGCTGGGCAGCCCTCCAGGCCTGAGGTTCCTGGTTATAACAGCCTCAGGTCTCTAGCTTCTTCAGCTGGCTCCCCCTCCCTTTCTTGTGGGTGCCCTACACCCGGAGAACCTGCTTAAAATGGGATTTCCAGGCTGTGACGTCAGAGGAAAGCCGGCAGCTCCATCCAGCCTCTGCCAGCTCTCCCTTGATCGGCAGAGCTGAGCCCAGCTTTGCTTGGCCTGGAGGGAGGCAGGGCGGGCACAGGAGGGAGGGGTTTTGGGGGCTCTGAGCCATGGTCCCCATACCTGTAGCATCCAGAATGACAGGGAGAGGCTGTTTGCAGGCCCAAAGCCCCTCTTAGCTTCCCCACTATCTTCAATTTCCGCCAGTACACGATCACCCCCCTCCCACATCCCCCCAGTTTTTCCCTCTCTGAGCTGGGTCAGGTCTATCTGGAGGAGGAGGGCAGCTCCTGTCCTTACCGGACAGCGGCTTCTGTGTGTGTCTTGCCTGAAGCTGTGCCATATCCAGGCTGCAGGCGGCGAAGGGTGGGAGGGATGCCCGCGAGGATGGAAAAGTCCACTAGGTGGCGCAGCTGCCTCCCTATGTGGGAATCCCTGGCCCCGCGGAAAACCCTCTCCCGCCGCCAGTAGGCTCAAGGTTTGGTGAGCAGAGTGCCTCATCCTCTGCTCCCTGGAGCTGGAGGTTCATGAAGAAAGCATCCTTGTGGGTGAACAGGACAGCTGTGGGTTCTCCAGCAGTCTTCCCCTAAGCCCAGTCTGTGTGCACACCTACTGCCCCAGGAGATGGTCAGACCTAGAAGAGGACCCCCACTTTCAGTGAGGTTCCAGCACCCTCCCCCAAACAGAAATTGCCAAGCTCACCCTGGGATGATTCTTTTTTTTTTTTTTTTTTTTTTTCTTTTGGAGACAGAGTATTGCTCTGTCGCCCAGGCTGGAGTGCCGTGGCATGATCTCAGCTCACTACAACCTCCGCCTCCCGAGTTCTAGCTATTCTCTTGCCTCAGTCTCCCAAGTAGTTGGGATTACAGGCACAGGCCACCATGCCTGGCTAATTTTTTGCCTTTTTTTTCCTTTTTAATAAAGATGGGGTTTTGCCATGTTGGCCAGGCTGGTCTCAAACTCCTGGCTTCCAGTGATCCTCCCACCTCCCAAAGTGCTGGGATTAAAGGCGTGAGTCACTGCACCTGGCCCCAACCTGGGCTTCTGAAATGGCATCTAGAGAGGCTGCTGGAGCTGATTTCAGAGTCAAGAGGGGAGAGGGACCCCTGAGGCAGCAAGGGGTGGGGAACTGGGGCGTGGAGGTAGGAAGGAGAAGTTGGGTCCAGAGGGAGGGAAGCTCATATAGCTGCAGCATTTCCTGGATATGATCTCCCTGATGGCCACAGTGGCAGTCCCAGGACTGTTCCAGATGCCCCCTGCCCCTTCTGTATTTTCATCTGGGGTACTGTGGAGTTGAAAAAGACAAAGTCAGGCCAGATGTGGCGTGGTGGCGGACACCTGTAGTCCCAGCTACTCAGAGGCTGAGGCAGGAGAATTGCTTGAACCCGGGAGGCAAGAGGTTGCAGTGAGCTGAGATTGTGCCATTGCACTCCAGCCCAGGCGACAGTGTGAGATTCCACCTCAAAAAGAAAAAAAAAAAAAAAAAAAGGAAAGAAAGAAAGAAGGAAGGAAGGAAGGAAGGAAGGAAGGAAGGAAGGAAAGAAAGAAAGAAAGAAAGAAAGAAAGAAAGAAAGAAAGAAAGAAAGAAAGAAAGAAAGAAAGAAAGAAAGAAAGAAAGAAAGAAAGAAAGAAAGAAAGAAAAAAATTCCCTAGTCTCCAAATCCTGGAATCCCATAGTATTCTTGCAGGGGCTAGGGGTGAGGCTCCTCAATGACCTACCTTTCCCTGACCTTTTTCCCAAGTTGACCCCATGCATCCCCTATGAATTACCCTCTCCTTTTGTCCCAGTCAGAAAAGTGATCAATAAATAATGCTGCTTGAAATATTAATGGTGAGTTTTACACCAGCATCCCTTAACTGTGCCTGTCGTTTTCCTGACAGGGAAATGCATAGTCCCCCAGACAGCTCATTCCCGTCTCGGCCAACAGAGGGTCTTTCTTTGCCAAGACTTCACCCCATTCCCATCTCAGCCAGAATCATGATTCAGTCCCATCAACTAAGAAAAGGAAGGGTCCCCCAGAGATCAACTCAGTCAGCACCTCCAACCCCGGAAGGGTGGAGTAAGCTAAGCCAGGTAGAAGCCCTTCCTGATACCTCAATTTCCCACGGTGTGATTGAGATCCCGTTTCCTCTGTTCCATGTCCATCCTGGGCCTGCCAGGTCCAGCTTTCTGGGTGGCCGACTCAGAATAAGACTGCAGCCTCCCTGCCCGCTCCTGGACTACTTGGAGTCTGAGCAGAGGACATTCATGTGCTCCTAGACTGCTCGAGCCCAGGTCACTCTCATGTGGTTTTGTTCTCCTGGAAGAAGGGGAGGAGTGGGAAGGACAAAGAGGTGGAGAGGAGGGTCATTGAAACTCTGGAGCCCAACTTACCCAGTACCAGTTCCCTGCAGAAGCCATGACCGCTCAAATCTATTTTTTTTTTTTTTTTGGAGACAGAGTCTTGCTCTGTCACCCAGACTGGAGTGCAATGGCATGGTCTTAGCTCACTGCAACCTCCACCTCCTGGGTTCAAGAGATTCTCCTGCCTCAGCCTTCTGAGTAGCTGGAACTACAGGTGCATGCCATCATGCCTGGCTAATTTTGTATTTTTAGTAGAGTCAGGGTTTCACCATGTTGGCCAGGCAGGTCTCAAACTCCTGACTTCAAATGATCTGCCTGCCTCGGCCTCCCAAAGTGCTGGGATTACAGACGTGAGCCCCCGCGCCTGGCCTCAAATCTTTTTTTTTTTTTCTGGGGACACAGGGTCTTGCTTGCTTCATTGCCCACACTGGAGTGTAATGGCACAATCACGGCTTACTGCAGCCTCAACCTCCTGGGCTCAAGCAATCCTCCCACCTTAGCCTCCCGCGTATCTGGAACCACAAGCGCACACCACCACGCCTCGCCAGTTTTTCTTTTTTTTTTTTTCCTTTTTGAGATAAGATGGCCTTTATTGCAGCACGAACCAAGTGAGGAGGACAGCATGTCAACAGCTCTCCAGGAGCCACCAAAGGCAAGGGGCCCACCCTGCCCCTGCAACAGGTCCCCCAGGGGCTAGAGCATAGCTCCCCCAAGGAAGGTCAAGGCATGCTTGTAAACAGGGGCCCAGACAACACAGAGAGGGGAGGTGGCCTCATCGGGTACAGCTTTGCTACAAGAAAGATTGTTATTAATTTCAAAGAGGAGACACCGCCATGCCTAGCCCTGCCCTCCCATGCTGCCAGGCTCTAGACGTAGCTCCTGCCTGCCTAGGGAGTTAGGCCCACCCACTGCCCGTGAGCCTGGCCCAAGCACACTGCAGCCACACAAAAAGCGCTGGCAGCTGACTCCAAATTTCAGAAACACAATTAGAAAAGAACTAGGCCGGGCATGGTGGCTCATGCCTGTAATCCCAGCACTTTGGGAGGCCGAGGCGGGCGGATCAGAAGTTCGAGAACAGCCTGACCAACATGGTGAAACCCCATCTCTACTAAAAATACAAAAATTAGCTGGGTGTGGTGATGCGTGCCTGTAATCCCAGCTACTCAGGAGGCTGAGGCAGGAGAATCGCTTGAACCCAGAAGGCGGAGGTTGCAGTGAGCCGAGATTGTGCCAATGCACTCCAGCCTGGGCGACAGAGTGAGACTCTATCTCAAAAAAAAAAAAAAAAAAAAGAAAAGAAAACTGGAATGTTACATTTTTCTCCCATACATTAAAAAATAAGAAAAAGCAAACATTTTGACTATAGACCCTGGTAGGTGGCATCTGACTTTAACCTGAAGTTCTCCTTGGAATCCTTTTCTGCCTGGCGCTCTGCCTGGCACTCTGCCATCCACAATCAGCCCCAGCCCCAGGCCCCCCTCACCGGAAGATCCTGGCCCATCTCAGAGGAGGGCGGGACCCCGCAGAGTGCCTGGCGAACAGAGCAACCACTGGGAAGACAGGGACTGATTGGGAAGACAAATGGGAAAGGAAACAGTAACAGAAGCTGGCGGCCTCCTGCCGGGACCTCAGCGGGAGGTTGCTGGTGAAGGTCCTGGGTGAGCTGGAGATGGGTGATAAGGTGACCTTGCTGGGTGGTAGTCTCAGGCTGTTCCTGGGCACCTGTCACATAGACCCCTGTGGGCACAGTGTGGGGCCCCACACCCGTCCCAGGGTTGTCCTGATACACAAGAGCAGAGACCCTGGAAGAGAAACCCGCCTGCCCCATGTGACACAGGGCTCCCAAACGCTTCCCTGTGGAACCCTGCTCCCGAGGACACCTTGTCTCGCTCCACAGAACCCTTTCCCCAGCACCCCCCGGAAACACAGCAGCTGGAAACTAACTCTCCATGCCAGGAACGAAGCCCTTGGCTAAGCCAGAGACTCATCAGTGCACGGATGGTGGTGAGGGGTGAGGACAGGCCCTGGGGCAGCGCTCTGCCCTGGGGACACCATCACTGTCCTGCTCTGACCCACAGGTGGGAGGAGGATGCTGTGCTCCCAGAGTGTGAGGATGGCTCAGGAGGACAGACGCCTGGGGCTGAGGCTGTGCCCAGAGCCGGTGTGGGGAGGGGTGTGGGGGGCTTTGCAGAGGCAGCTCAGAGAACTGAGGTTGGAATCCTGCCCCAAGCTCAGGTTTTGGGGACGGCAAGTGCCTAGACAAGGCAGGTGACATTACAGTCACTGAGCTGGTCCAGAAACAAGGTGCTGAAGACGTCGTTGAAGAAGGTGGCGTGGTGCCTGCAGGCTCGCTTGCAGTCGGGGTTGAAGTTCACCTCCAGGATCTGCAGCTGCATCACCCGCTTTCCATCTGGACGGTTGTCCCACTTCAGCATGAGGTCGATGGCATACATCTGGCCAGTTTTTAAAAATGATTTTTTGTAGAGACAGCGGTTGCCCTATGTTGTCCAGGCTGGTCTCAAACTCCTGAGCTCAAGGGATCCTCCTGCCTCGGCCTCCCAAAGTGTTGGGATTACAGGTGTGAGCCACGATGCCCACTCCACTCAAATCTTTGCATGCACATTTGCTTCTGCCCGTAGCACCCTTGTTCACCTGCTTCACCTGGTCAGCTCCTGTATGTGCTTCAAGTCTCAGCCCAGAGTGACTCCCCCACCCCACCTCCAAGTTGTCAGATGCCCCTCCAGGCCCCTGACATACCTGTCCTTTCCCCCTGACAGCATGCATTGCCCTGTGTGCCCCTTGCCTGCTTCCCAGTCTGTTTACCCACCAGCCCGAAGGCCGGGGCATAGACAATGGGCCCAGCTGGCTCCCCACTGTTTGCCCAGCATCTCCAGCACGGGGCCTGGTACACGATAAACACTTGGCACATTTTTGTGGAATGTTAGAATGATGCCCCTGCAGCAATCTTCCCCTCCTGGAAAAACAGCAACCTTCAGACTTCAGTGTCTCTCAGCTGAGCTGTTGCCTACGCCCGAGAATGAGTGTCTGCGCTAAACAGGAGCTGCCCAGATCGGCTGCCCCTGCCCTGGCTGCC